GAATGTCTTCCAGTTCTACTACATGAGAGGGGTTGGCTATATACTTTCTGAGTTGAGAACACATGGAAGACCCGATGTAGATTTGATCTTGAGTGGCAACGGCTAATCTAAGCTACTGGTCGCAATTTTCCTCAAAATCTGGTAGGCGGTCCTATGAACTTTGGCGCAGCTTCTGGGGGAACCGAACGAATCTGCCTACTCCAGTCAATTGTTTTGAGTCTCAAGAATACTGATCCCCTGCACAAACTCCAATGGCCTCCTTCTTCTATCCGCATAACGATTTTTGCCTACTCAGGGAGTCTCAATCTCTCCTGGATCAACTTCACTTTGTCAGTCCGTTTGTTGTTTTTTGGATGAGTTCAGGTCCGTCAGCACGTTCTCTCCTTCCTGGAACCAGCAAGTGGCGTTCGCATTTCCTTCCTAGAGAGCTCAAACGGCGCCATAGGCCAATGCTAGCTTGAAAACTATTGTTGTACGTTAACTCCACTAGCGCAGTATTTCATCCCAGGCGTCCCAAGTGTTATCTATTACGCACTCCTCATTAAATCTTACTCAGGTACGTGCTGACCGTCTTTGGAAACTGCTTGCAGTTACTCGCTCCACAACTTCCCTTCGATTATTGGTATGATACTCTAACCCATTTTATTCTCCAACTCGTCGTCCTATATCTCCCCTCTGTAATTGTTTCTCGGTCAGTAACTTATGTCTTGAAGGCACTCCATGAAGAGAACGATCTTTCCTTGATGTACAATTTAGCCAATTAGTCATTAGACATCTTCAAATTACTGCTAGGAAGTTGGGCGCTCTTTGTTAATCTGTCCACGATTACCCCGATTGAATCATGATTTCGAACCGTACGTGGTAGAGGGTCACGGAATCCATAGAAATGCTGTCCCACTTCCATTCTGGAATTTCCAATGGTTGAAGCAAGCCGCCTGGTCCGTTGGTGTTCAGCCTTTGCACGTTGACAGGTCCCAGCAAGAATGCCACAAAACGAGCGACATCACCTCTTCATTCCAGGCCACCAGAACGATCGTCTAAGATCTTGGTACATCTTAGTCATACCGGGGTGTATGCTAAGACGACTGGATGTGCTTCCTCCAATTGATCCGCTGTCGTTCGCCATCATTGGGAACCGCACTCCTACCCATGTAACGCAGTAGGCCGTCCGTCCCAGCATTGAACTCTTTGGCTCGTTCTGAACCGAGCGCACTAAAATCTTCACCAGTTCTTCATCCTCTCGTTGCTTCATTCTAATCCGGTCAAATATGTTGCTATATATCCTAAGGTTACAGCACTTAATGCTGTTCGGCTCCAACTAACTGCAACCTTAGATCTCTAAAACTCTCAACCAAACCGAGCTCTTTTCACCATCATCACCGATACATGTACTGCCTTCCTGCTTAGAGCGTCCGCCACTACATTGGCCTTCCCAAGGTGATAAAGCAACTCAAATTCATAGTCTTTTAAGAACTCCAACCAACGTCTTTGCCTCATATTCAACTCCTTTTGATCAAATAAATATTTGAGACTCTTGTGATCACTGAAGACTTGGAACGTTGATCCGTAAAGATAATGCCTCCAAATCTTCAGTGCAAAAACGACCGCTGCCAATTCCAGGTCGTGCGTTGTATATTTTCGTTCATGAATCTTCAACTGACGAGACGCGTATGCTACCGCTCGTCTCTCTTGCATAAGCACACAGCCCAACTCTTGATGGGACGCGTCACAGTACACTTCAAAAGGTTTGGTCGTGTCTGGAATTATCAAAACTGGAGCGCTCGTCAGTTTTTCCTTCAGCTCCTGGAAACGCATTTTGTGGAGTTATTGAACCCATACTCGAAATAATAAATATATTTTTATCTAGAAAATAGTATTTTTTTTTTCTGCAAAATTCAATGAAAATGAAAACTGGTAGAGTAACTCAATGTTTTGATACACATATACATATTGTAGTTATTATAGGAGTAGATGTTATATAATATGATATACTTCTGTAGTTACTAAATGAATGTTTTTATAATATAAATTTTAGGTTTAAACTCTTTAGTTGTCCTATTTATGTGGGTTTTTCCCAAGTTTGATCCCCTTGTTATTAGAATCCTCAATTGAGTCCTTATAACTGCTAATTTGAATCAATTGAGCCCCTGCCGTTAAATTTAGTTAATAGGGTTAAGTTGTTTTTGCACAGGTATGTGACAAATTTTTAAAACGTGACATATTGAGAGTTGAATACGTGGAATTTAGCAACTTTTTAAATTTTAAAAATATGAATTTCTGAAATGGGATTTAGGGTTCATAGAATAGTAAGAAGAAGCTTCATGTGGCAAAGAAGATGAAAGTAAATCTGTCATTAAATGGACAGAGGATGACCAAAAGAACCTCATGGATTTGAGAAATTTAGAGCTGGAAAGGAACACACGGTTGGACAATCTTATTGCCAGAAGAAGAAAGGAGATTGATATCTGAGGTTAGACTTTGCTGATATTCCCAGTAAAAACCCAACCCAGAAAAACCCAAACAGCATCCAGAGCACCACCGTGAATCTCCTCGCGCGATCTCCTTCTTTCACCTGTAATTCCCAAAATCCAGAAAACGAAAAAAGAAACCAAACCGCCACTCTCCCTGAAATCGTGAGTCTTCTCCTCCATCACTGCCGCACAACCCAGAATCGCATCAGCCTACATCGCGCTACCTTCACTTGCAGATCCAGAAAAGCCAGAAGCGCGTAACCACCAAGAACTTCTTCTCCATAGATCGTGACGCAAACCCTGCAAGAAACCACTTCTCATGAATCGTGCCACCGTTTCAACTCTCACCATGCCACGTCTTAAAAAATTTGACACATCAACCTCCCATCTATGCATAAACTTAACCCCATTAACTAAATTTAACGGCAGAGGCTCAACTGATTCAAATTAGTACTTATAAGGACTCAATTGGAGATTCTAATAAGAAGGATATCAAACTGAAAAAAAACCCAACTAAAGAGTTTAAACCTAAAATTTATTATAAATATATTGGAGAATTTTTTTTAAGATGTTTAAAAATTATGATTCAAATAATTAATAATAATAATAAGAATTTTCTTCATTTTAATTACTTTCGTAGTCTGAATTTATTAATGAATATTATATATACATAAATAAATAAATAAGAATTTTTAATTCTTTTATTTGTTTATTAATTAATTTTATACACAAGAAAAATGTAAACAATAATTACAAATATGAACATAGAGAATTTAAACAGTAAAAGTACAAAAATAAGTTTCTTTAACAAAATGATCCTCATAGTTAGATACCTCATCAGAGAGCAAGTTGACTTTTTAATTTTCTTATTATATATATATATATATATTTATATATATATATATATAAACACATACTTAATTATAGAAATATTTAACTAAATAATATATGTCTATAATTTAGTTGAAGATTATGATTTTTACATGTACAAGAATACAATCAATAGTTAGAATCTAATTTACAAATATTTATTATTTACTGTATTATATATTATGTATTGGTAATTTTTAAATAACATAACAACAAATTGATACAATGTTTAAAATTGAACATAGCAATTTCCAATAAGGTCCACTCATTTTATGTACCTACATGATATTCCATGGATAAAATTGTCATTAACAACTAATTTGGTGTTCCTATAAATTTCAATACCTAGGGTTTGTTTCTTCTGTTCTTCTGTGCGAGATTGAAGTGAAAGCTGCGGCTGCTACCCTAGCCTCTTCCCCTTTCTTTCTTAATATCAGGTACCCATTGGTGTTTCTGAATTCTGCACTGAATTTCAACGTTGCTTTTGTTCATTATAAATTTTGATTTGTTGAAGGTTAATGATTTTCTGGTTCTATATGCCCAAATTTTTATGCTCTTTTCTTCTGGGTTTTCTTTGAATTATATGTTTGTTCCTCTACATTTTATGACTGTGATTGTACTTCTGGTGATTGTGTTGATCCCGCTTATGGTTTGCTTTATATATATGTATATATATTTATGTTCGATTCACGGTGTTAGACTTGGAAATAAAATCAAACTGTTTGCTCTGTTAATGATAATGCACATGTTTTTCATGTAATGCTATGGAATTTATATGTTTTCAGTGGATTAGGGTTTAGGAGATAGAACGATGTTAAGTTGGAGAACGATATGATGATTAATTATTTTCCTATTGGTTTGATTGCCTGGATGATGGCACTCATGTATTAGCTCTATCTGATCATTCTCCATAACAAGATGAAATACGTTCATGGTTGGTTTATATAAGTGTACGACGTCATTTTGAACAAACGGTTTATCTGACAAACCATTGAGTAGTAGTTACTGAATTATGTCCTGTTAGTATTTCACTTTTGGTTTTCGCTGCATTTGTTAAAATTTGATGTTTAATTCATGATTCTATATAATGACTGTGTTGCTTTGTGTTTCCCTCTTTTCCCTACAAATGTACTATCAGTTGTTTGGTATGCAGTCCTTACTAACTACATCCTTGTAAACATTGCTTATATTTAAGCAGAATGGAATCCCAGGTGAAGCATGCGATTGTTGTCAAGGTTATGGGCCGAACTGGGTCCAGAGGGCAGGTGACTCAGGTTAGAGTGAAGTTTTTGGATGATCAGAACCGTCACATCATGAGGAATGTGAAGGGACCAGTGAGAGAAGGAGACATTCTCACCCTTCTCGAGTCTGAGAGAGAAGCAAGGAGATTGCGTTAGAGAGTCTTTTGATTGTTTGATTCAGTGTTCAAGAGAAACAATGCTGTTTTTTTGGTGGTTGTTAACAATGCCATATTTTATTATCCTGGATCTGTTATTATTATACTTGCACCGTGACTCTATTTCTTACGTTATTGAGCTGGCAGAGTTTTGAGTAAAATTGTGATTTTGGTTTTATGTACTGCTTCTCCTTTTATGTTCCCTTTTACAATGGATGTGATCAATCCAATATAATTTTTGGGCATTCTTGGTGTCTAAAATATTCTTGGTTTCCTATTTCAAAGAAGCATCATGCTTTGAGATTAGATTGTCCCCCGAATTTGTTTCTAGTTAGATTTGCACTTTTAATTTTGAGGCAACCTCTTCTGCCCAACAATTATCATTCAAACTTGCAATGGATACTTAAAAGGTAACATTGAAATTCGGAATCACCAATTAGTGAGGGAATAAATTAAAATTAAGAAATGAAAAAATCCGGAAGCAGCAACGACTGTGAAAGGAAATGATCAAAGGCCAATGACATATGGGAGAAGTTCAGTGTCTGAGTTAGGATGTTATTTATCTCCTAAGGATTAAAGCTTTTGGCATGGTGAATAATGGTCATGTTAAATGTAATAAAAAAAGTGACAATCTTAGATGCTACTTTTCAAGTTTTCTTTTGTTTTCACACCAAGGGCTGTTCCAATTTGTTCTTTACCAAAAGTTCTCTAGATGTGAATAGGTGTTGGAACTAAAACAATATGATATGACAAGTTTAATGCTATAAAATTTGTATGATAACAAAGATGGTTTGTGTTATAATATCTTTCAATGTGCAGATTTAATGAATTGATGGATTGTAAATAACAGAGAAGGTAGGTATACCAAGTTCTAAAATATAAGTGTCTAAGACACGCACATGCACTAAGCAAAAACGTTTTTTCTTTCCTTTGGATTGCATGTTTTTAAAAGACAAGTTCTCTGTACAAATCAAACTTCTCAAAACTACCTTAACAAGACTATTTATCTTTCCCAAGATTGATGAACCCTTTAGTCTCACCAAAAAGAATTTGTTCTCAAATAAAAAAGTAAATGTGTTGATTAACTTAGGAACCAAATTTTTGTTTTATACAATCTTATCAAAACAACAATGAACCTATCTACTCTAATAAGCTGATTCTGTTGTATGGCCAGGGAGAAAAGAAAAAAAAAATCAATTTTCTGAAGTTGATACAGAATATAAGTACACTTTTTCGTATTATACAGTGTTTTCACCTCATCTCTCCATATTATGAAAACAAAAACAAACACATCCTACACAAGGCCATTACTTTCTGCAGCTGATCAAATTTCCACTCCCACCCCATCAAAATGCTTTCTATAAAAAGAGGGGTTGATTAGCTTCCGGAGAAAAAAATTCGGAATTATTTATTGTATTCCAGAAAATATTTCGGAAGTAATAGGTTGGAGGAAGAAAATGATAGGGTGCAGGAAGAAGCTGCCCCTATGCAAACCACCAAGGCTCAAATCCACAGTCGAATAGAAATACCCAAACTTCAATGGGCCGGGCCTAACCGTTCAACTTAGGGTTTTCGATCACTATAAATACCCAAATGTCAATTCGATAAACCTAGGGTTTGTGTCGTGCAATTGGACTTGCAGCTTCTTCCGCCACTCCACTCTCTGCACCCTCTGTGCCTCGCCAATACAAACGAGTTTGTTCTCTCACATTTCTTTCTGCTTCTCTTCCTCTCATTCTTCTCTTCGCTAACTTCCTCTTTTCATTTTCTTCTGCAGCCATGGCGGACGTCGTCACCGAAGCTGGCGTCGTTGCGGATCCCACCCAACTAGATGTCAAACTGTTCAACCGCTGGAGCTTCGAAGACATTCAGGTACTTATCTCTTGCTATGACCTACCTATTAATCTTGTTATATTCTAAAATTACACGATTTTTCATGAAATTTATTGAAATGTGTATCAATGTGGTTTATTTATTTTGAGATTTTTTTTTTCTAATCAGGTTGGTGGTATTACTCTGATATTAAACTTATTAAAAGTTTTTTTTTTAATTTATCTTGGGAATTTTATGTTATTAGGTTAACGATATTTCGCTGGCTGATTATATCGGAGTGGTGTCGTCCAAGCATGCCACTTATGTTCCTCACACATCCGGTAGGTACTCGGTGAAGCGTTTCAGGAAAGCGCAGTGCCCCATTGTGGAGAGGCTTACTAACTCTCTTATGATGCACGGAAGAAACAACGGAAAGAAGCTCTTGGCTGTTAGGATTATCAAGCATGCCATGGAAATCATTCACTTGCTCACTGACCAGAATCCAATTCAAGTCATTGTTGATGCCGTCATCAATAGGTATGTTCTAGTATTGAAAACGATTTTGTGATGTTTTTATGTTCTATTGAGTTTTAATGTGTATATGTCGCTGTGATACTGACCACTTGTTGTATTTAAAGTATTCGATGAAACTGGAAACACGTTAACATATATATTCGCCTATTGTAAATTTGTTTGTAGGAATTTAAGAAAAAGTTTGTGATCATAAAATTGTAAGTTTGATATATTGGGGTAAGTTAGTGTCTTTTAAATATTTTTAATGTGTTTTGGCTCCAGTATATGGATTTGGAGAATGGAATGATGATTATGAATTCCCTATTGGTTTGATTGCCTCAATGATGGCGTTTTGTATTAGCTCTATCTGACCATTCTCGTCAATATGTTTTTTACTTATTACTATCTGTGAGTGATAAAATATTTTGGCTGGGAAAAGAGATATTAAGTATGTGTTAATGTCAGAACATGTAAACATTGTTTTTTCCCCTTGAAGTGGTACAATGGCCAGTTATACTACGAGTAAAGGACATCCAAAATTGATTAGTAGGGCTACCTAATTTTAGGGATCATTGTTGAGAGTTGGAGAATGACATGATGATCATTTATTTCCCTATTGGTTTGATTGCCTGTATGATGGCACTTTTGTATTAGCTCTATCTGATCATTCTCCTTAAATAAATTAGAATAGACTTATGAATTGTGTGCATTTGGGTTGTCCTAAAACTATTTTTTATATTTATATAGTATTTGAAAGTGAGATAGTCCCTTCTCATAGTGACTTCATGGGTGATTTAATTATTTTACTTGTTTTTCATGGAGCTTTTACATCTTATGGAGTTAGGAAATTCAATTTTCGTTGTTTAGTTACATTTTTAGGGATGATAGATCAATGTTGTAGCACATGGAGAATGACATGACGATTAATTGTTTCCCTATTGGCTTGATTGCCAGTATGATGGCAAAAGTATTAGCTCTATCTGATCATTCTCCTATATTGGTTTAGGGCATTTAATCTATACGAGGATGCTTTAGTTATTTACCAACACAGGAAAAAGTTAATTGTCGGTTTTTGGTTGACTTATATTTTTCGGGGTGAGAGGTCAATGATGGAACATATGGAGAATGACATGACGATTATTTATTTCCCTATTGGTTTGATTGCCAGGATGATGGCGCTATTGTATTAGCTCTATCTGATCATTCTCCTATGTTGATATTTATGGTTGATTTCACTTTATAAAGAAGTGTGCGTCATTACCTCAGGGAACTGACTTGTTATTTAATTTGTTGTGCTTAGATATTTATGTTCTCTTGCGACATTATTTTTTAAATTGCATTTTAAGTAGCCTCTTAATGTGCGATATTTTGTTTAATGGAATAATCTTCTGTTCTTGGTATTGTAAAGGATTAAATATTATGTTGATTGTATTGTAGTTATTTATTTGCTTTTGTTTTACCAGTGGTCCCCGTGAAGATGCTACTAGAATTGGATCTGCTGGAGTGGTGAGGAGACAAGCCGTTGATATCTCACCCCTTCGACGTGTTAATCAGGCCATCTATCTTCTAACAACAGGTGCACGGGAAGCTGCTTTTAGAAACATCAAGACAATTGCTGAATGTTTGGCTGATGAACTTATTAATGCCGCAAAAGGTTCATCCAACAGGTATAAATTTTCAGTGATTAAGTGAAGACTGCATTATCGTATTTAATTATAATCCCTGTTACTACTTTATTTCAGTTACGCCATCAAGAAAAAAGATGAAATTGAAAGAGTTGCCAAGGCTAATCGTTAAGCAGTTCGAAGCATGTATTGTACCAGAAAGATTTTGATTCGATCTTTGTACTTCATTTATCACAGTTTCGATTATTGTGTAATACTTTCTTTGGCTTTAGTTTATTTTTAGTTCCTTTTAAGGAAGAATTTAAACGAAGGATTTTGATTCTTGGACTTAAATTCATATTAGTACTAGCATGGTTTTTGAATTATTGTGATGATTTAAATGGGAATATGATCTCCGTTTCCCGTGTTCTATTTTTTGTTAAAATCAAAGACTGATTACATGAGTCACGGTAAAGGCGTCATAAAATATAATTCTAAAGTCATCGTCCAATTTTAAGAACTGTAGTTTAAAGAAATGCAGTTGTTAATTTAACTGTCCTCTTTGGCAAGGAGTAAATGTAATGATGCTGAATATCAAACAAGCTACTCGAAAGTAAGATTAACCGGAATTGAAGTTGAAATACAGGGTTATGATTTTTCATAATAGAAAAGTCATTTATATTTATATATTGATATATAGATACAAACAAAATATTTAATATATAATTTGTTTGGTGTTTTTTTCAGGTCCTTTTCATGTATTAGAAACTTAGTAGTGTGATTATTTAAGGTATTTCAAGTTGATAATGTAATTATGTTTTATAAGGAATTTAAAAGTAAATTAAATTTCTATTATTTTATTTGAAATTATTTATGTTTTCTAATTATTATTTTGGTGTGTTAGGTTGTATCCAATTTGGTTCCATAGATCTAATAGTTTAATAAGGGTCTAATTTGAATTTGACCTATTTGTTCTAATTTCTTTTGCAATCTGTCTTAGTTTCATTTGGATTTTATTAAATTGGACAACATAATTTTAACCTAACTTGCCTTAATATCATTATATTGACTTAGACTTGAATTATAAAGATTACCTTAATTTGAATCTGTACTGACTTAGTTTGATTTGAAATAAAGTTGATTCAGCTTGATTTAAACTTGTCTTTAGAGAGTCTTGATCGAATTATTTTTGGTTCGAATTAAAACTCACATAATTCTAATCTAATTTTACTAAAAGTGGAAAGACTCAGCTTAGATAAAATGTACCTCATTCTAATTCAAGTAAACTTAGTTTTGGAGTGATTTGACTCAACTTTCATGTTGTGGTTGAATTAGATTAACCTGACTTGACATTGTCTTGATTATAAGTCAAAACTAGTCTTGACATGAAGTGCGACACAAATAATCGTAGATTTGTCTTGACTTAATTCAATGTTATGGGTTTTTTCCAATAATACTCAATTTTGGTTGGTGTTGAGTTAGCTTATTCAAGAGCTAACTCGATTTGACATGAGTAAACTTGGTTGAACCTAAGCCATTGTCAACATGGCTTGACTTGAACCCAAGTTGATTTGTCTCAAGTTGGAATTAAACAAACTCAGCTTGATTGGGTTCACGACAACTCGACTTAATTGAAGTTAGGACCTACTTGGTGCAACTTGGATCCAAACCAACTCAATTCAACTTGGACTCAAGGTAAGTTGACTTCACATTGACCTATGTTAACTCGTTTTAACATTATATGAATTTAACTTAGTATTATCTTTCTTAGGCATTGAGCATGATTTATTTTAGTATTTCATAACTTGAAAATAATATAACACTTAATAGAAATTTATTAAAAGTTTTACAAAAATATTAAATATAAACTTTTTGAATAACTTAGACAAAAAAAATAACACCAATCAAGATAAATTACAAAATATTATTAATATTTTTAATTTTTAACAATTATTGAATATTTATTTATTTTTATTTTAGGAATAGTTAAAATATTTTATTTAAAAAAGACAATTAAAATTAACTAATTTTAAATTACCTTATTCAAATAAATCACTTGAAAAATAAAATAATTTGAAATGAGATAAGATGAAATTTATTGTATTTGAATTTCATAACACTACTAAGTCAACATAGCCACCCACATGTTTTTTTTCTAAGTGGATGCTGTGTTTATTCAAGAATTTCTTGTTGTACAAAAACAATGGCTAAATGTGATTAGAGTGTTTCTCTCTCCATCACCACCACCGCATGCTCCGTGCACCACCCCATACCTATTTTGCCCTTGTTATAAAACGGACGTCAACATTCGTTTCACCTTCAACGGATGTTGACATCTACTCACATATTTTATATTTTAATTTATTATTTATATATATAAAAAAATCTTCAACGGATGTGATAACGGGTGTGGCACATCTGTTTAATAGATTTTTCAAATTTTTTTAATTATTATTTAAATAATAATACATAAACTAAATTAATAATAATTATTTTATTAAATAAAATTAATTTATAAATAATTAAGTAATAATTTTAAAAAATTAAATAATATTTATATATTAATTTAAAATATAATAAATTAAAAAATAAAAACTTAAAAAAAAAACTTCACGGATGTCGTCATATGTGGCACATCCGTTTTAATAAAGAGGTGAGAGTGTAAGATATTTTAAAATATAAAGAATAATTTTGGAATTTAAAAAGAAATGTAGTAATACAGGAAGCAATATATTGGGTGGTGTAGGGAATAAATTCAGAAATTGAATATCTTGAACAACTACATACTTCCAAACAACAACACAAACTTGGCAAGGAAATAAATATACCTACATACTATTCTTCTGTAGTTTTAAGATGGCATACTCAGGGTGAACATTGGTCAGGATCAAATTTAGGCTTAATATAATTTAATTTTAATATTTTAAAAATTATATTTAACCATTTAATTTATCAGCTTAGATTCAGATGGTTTGAGTTGCGGGTTAATTCTATTAAATTTTTTAGATTAAATTTATACTAAACTAAATTTTTTAATAAAAAATATTATTTTTATCAAGATTACTTGTATAATTTTAATAATGATTATTATAACCATATATGATTTTATATAATTACTACTAAATTCTAATAAAGTAATATTATATTAAAAGTAAAATTTAAAATTAAAAAAATGACTTAATACTTATTTTGGTCTTTATTTTTTGTAAGTTTTGTTCAAAGTAGTTCTTAACTTTTTTCGACGCTCAAATTGGTCATAATTTTTGTTTAATTTGGTCATTTTGACTCACGGCGTCTAAAATGTTAATGACAAAGTGTCCACGTGAGTTATTAGTGAATGCCGTGACTACTACATCATCTCATGTTTTTCCTAAAATCCTCGACTCCATCATTGCCACATCACACATCACTAAATACTCCCTTCCCGCCACTACACCGCCGCAATGCACTGCCATCTCCTTTCTCGTACCATTATCGCGAGACAACCAACATATTTATTGAGCAAGCTGCAATTGCAGATCTACAACCTCATGAGCAACCTGGGAAAAAACCCTTAATCGTGTACCAAACCGCAAAAACCTCCATGGCCAACCATCCAAACCAAACGCGAAGCCACCAATAGGGCAACCACGAACCACCGCCAAAACCTCTTTGAGCCACTACATCCTCACACCACCAACAAAAGCCACAACGAAACCTTAACAATCCATTTCATGCCTCTTGCACACAAAGTCTCATTACGAGTTAGAACCTACAAATCAGAAAGCCAGAGACCATCAATTGCAAATGAAACCCAAAATCTCCACCACTACAAATCGAATCAACCACGACAAGACTCTATGTTTGTTCAACCACTATAGATTTGCACAGCCATGAAGCCCAACTCGTGAATCATCATCACGATCAACTATGGAAGCATCAAGAATAAAAAACCATCACATCAACCACTCGCAAACACAAGCCTCATATGGAACCACCCTCACATCAACCCCCCGCAAACACAAGCCTCAAATGGAACCAGAGACTTCGAATCAAATCACAACAACGAGAACTCCACCTTTGCGCTGTTTTGGGAAGCCAAATCGCGAACCAGTAAACTCTAATCACATCACCACCATGGGTAGCCACATGAGAAAAAAAAGGGAATGCATCATTTGCTGATAGTTTATGTGAACACTATGTCGTTAACCATTTAGATGCATTGAAAATAACCAAATTAAACCAAAAAAATACAAAAATTGGGATAAATTTAAACATCGGAAAAAGTCGAAAACCACCTTAAACAAAACAGACAAAATTAGAAAATAAAATAGGTGTTAAATCTTTAAAAAAATATACAAATTTATAAATATTAAAATATAAATTGGAGTCGAGTCGGATATATATAAAGTTCTAATTCATTGTCCAAACTCAACCGTAGTTATCCATTTTCCTCACTTTTATTTATCCAACCGTTTATCTAATTTAATCCAATCATATGCTGAAAATTATTTATATTTAATTTTATAATTATAATAAGGGTTAAATATGTTTTTAGTCCTTAATCTATCAAGCGAATTTGCTTTTAGTCCTTGATCTATCAAGCGAATTTGCTTTTAGTCCCTCTTTCAAAGTGAGGTACATTTTAGTCCTCATCCTTTAAGAAACCATAATTTTTCGTCCTCCAAATTCAACGGCGTTAAAAAAAAGCTGAGCTGGCTAACGGTGGAATGCCACGTTACTTTTTTTTTTCTGAGTCAATCTCCCTCCCTCACTGGTGCCGTCTCGACTCTGTCTCCAAGCAGTTCCTCCTCTCCAACCTGGCCCTCCACGGCAAGACCCGTCTGGACTCCTTCGCGATCTTCGCCGCCCCCTGCGGCCACTGCCGGCAGTTCTTCCAGGAACTTCGCGATGCCTCCGATATCTAATTCCTGATCACCTCCCACGCCAACCCTCACTTCACTTTTCTCCCCCTTCCTCTCCCTCCGCTTCGGCCCTCACGATCTTCTCTGCACTTCCTTCACCCCAGAGGACCCTCAGATCGGCGCGTTCTCGTTTTGCTCGATGACTTCGTTGTCAAATCCTCACACTCTCTCTTCTTCAACTCCCTCAAATCTCGAGGCTTCGATCTCCATTTCCACTGATGACCCCCAATTTCAGATTTTGTTGATTTGGGTCATGATTTTGTTAATCCAAAACGTAATTAAGAAGAAATTTTCTGAGTTTCTGGGTTTGATTTAGGGTTTTTTGGGCTGTTGCGTTTTCTGGGTTTTGTCTTGCAGGTCAGGAGGAGCTTCGCCGTTTGGATGTTCGACGGTGTTGCTTGGGGCGTAGGGAAAAGTCTCACGGTGTAGGTTTCCTAGAGGTTTGGGTGTTTTGCTATTCTAATGGTTATGTTGTGGAGGCTCGCGACAATGGTGAATGGTTGCTCATGGTGATGGTCCGATGCAG